GGAGAGAGGACTGTGTATGACGTCAGTGATGAAGGTGTGGTGTACAAGTCACCATCCAAAAAAACAAGGAGAGTTGCACAAGTTGATGAGCAGGAGGCACAAGATATGGATAAAGGAAATGCAGGAGATGATGATTTGGAGCAAGAGGAGTTGGAAAGAACTATGGAGCTTAAGAGGAGGAATAAAATACAGAGGTATAAGAAGCATAAGAAGAGTGTTGAGAGGGTGGAGGCAGTTAAAAGAAAACTTCCTGTTTTACTAACTTAAGATGACTTTGACTTGGAGCAAGATGAGGATTTCATGGCTAGGATGGCTGAGATGAGGAGGCAGAGACAGGACCCATTTTTACACTTTGAAGGTGACACTGATGTTGAAGAACCTTATGAGCTAGAAGAAGAGGTAGTGAATGAGGAACATGGAGAGGATGAGGAGCATGGAGAGGATGAGGAAATTGAAGAGGAGGTGGTACCACAAGGGGAAAAGAGGAAGAAGTTGAAAGTAAGAAAGGGGCCAACTACTAGATCACATGCAAGTTTGGAGCAAAAATTTGAGGATGTTTGGGTGCCATCATCTGATGAGGATCCAAATCCTGGTGATTTGAATGAGGAGGATGATGATGGGGCAGTACCCCTAGCTTTTGTGCTTGGCAATAAGAGTAGGGCCAAAAAACCCAAACCAAGAATCTGGTATGCTGAGGATAGAGAGAGCCCAGAGATGTAGTTTGTGAAGAAGCTTTGTTTTGAAAGTCTTTACCAGTTTAGAAGGGCACTTCTCACATTCCACATAGCTCAAAACAGAAACTATCAGTTTCATAGGAACTGCAATGACAGAATCATAGCTATTTGCAGACATGAAGATTGCCCTTTTTTCATTGCAGCTTCTGTGTTGGCAAATGAGAGAACATTTTGCATTAGAAAGGCAAATTTTTTGCACACATGTCCAGCTGTAGCAGAGAGCACCAAGGTGACTACCAAGTGGGTCACACATCAGGTGTTAGAAGCAATAAGAACAGACTTGAACACATCAATAACTACAATAATGCAAAATCTGAAGAGCAAGTATGGAGTTGAGATCAGCACTCATATGGCCTACAGGGCTAAGAACAAAGCAGTTGAGATGGTGCAAGGAGATCAGAGGGGTCAGTATACCAGGATTAGGGATTATTTGCAGGTTGTCTTGGACATAAATCCAGGTAGTAGGTGCATTGTCACTACTAAGTTCTTGAAGGAGCATCCAAGCAAAAATCCAAGGTTCCATGGCCTATTCATCTATTTGAATGCTTGCAAGGAAGGATTTTTGAATGGATGTAGACCATTCATAGGTGATTACTTTACTTTGCAAGGAAGGATTTCTTAATGTTTAGTTTGCCTTGTTTCAATGCCTTGTTTCTGACTTGTGTTGTGTGCCATTGCAGGTGTGGATGGATGCTTCATCAAGCTGTCTACTGGCCAACAAATCCTGGCTGCCACAGGAAGGGATGGGAATAATAACATATATCCCGTTGCTTTTGCAGTTGTGGACAAAGAAGACACAAAAAGTTGGACTTGGTTTCTATCTGAACTGAAGACAGCAATTGGTGGAGAATCAGGGAGATTTGGTTATTACACCATAATCTCTGATAGACAGAAGGTAATTCCCATGTTTAGTTCATAATTGCTTAGTCCATAATTGCATAGTTCACAATTGCATAGTTCACAATTGCATAAGTAGTTGTTGGCCATATACATTGCTTAGTTTCTTAAGTAGTTGTTGGTCATATACATTGCTTAGTTGCTTAAGTAGTTGTTGGTCATATACATTGCTTAAGTACATAATTGCTTAGTTGTGATTATGGTGATTTCTCCAATCAGGGCCTTCTTAAAGCTGCAAACAATGTATTCCCCAACTGCCCACATAGATTCTGCCTTAGACACATCTATCAAAACTTTCAGACTGCTGGTTTTAGGGAGTCAGAATTAAAGAAGTACATGGATAAAGCTAGTTACTCTTATACTGAACATGACCATCTTGCTGCAATGGATGCTCTAAAAAGTGAGTGCAAGGCTGCTTGGGCTTGGCTTAACAAAGTTCCTAGAGCTGCTTGGGCTAGATTTGCAATGGACTTCAATTGCAAAACTGACCTAGTTGTCAACAATATTAGTGAGGTCTTTAACAAGATGATATTAGATGTGAGGGGAAAACCAATAAAGAGCATGATAGATGGAATCAGGACAAAGTTGATGGTTAGGTTCAATGGCAATAGGACTAAGATAGAGGTAGCCAAGTGGGATATATGCCCAACATATGCTGAGTTGCTTGAGGAAGCAAAGAAAAATTCTAGGAATTGTCAAGCATTGATGGTTGGGCCAAATATCTACCAAGTGACAAGCAATGAGAGAACTTATTCAGTTAACCTGAAGCATAGGACATGTGGGTGCAAGAAATGGGATATGACTGCAGTCCCATGCAATCATGCAGTATCAGCTATCTCCAAAGCCAAACTGAGGCCTGAAGACTTTGTACATGACTTTTTCAAAAAGCCAATGTATCTGGCAGCATACAACCCCATCATATACCCTATACCAGGACAAGATCTGTGGCCCAAGACCAATACCAAAGACATAGAACCTACAGTGTTCAAGGATAAGCCAGGGAAGAAGCAAACCAAGAGGAGAAGGAGCCAGTTTGAGCCACCAGCACCCAAAGATACATCTAGGATGGCTTCAATTACATGCAGCAACTGCCAGCTTGTAGGTCACAGATACACATCATGCAAACAGACTCTAAAACCAGGCTTAGCAATGAGAAAGAACAAGCATCAGGTTTGTACAAGCATCACACATACACATCATTTTGTTTTCTAACACTTGAATGTATTAACTTGCTACAATTCTTATATGCAGTCTAGCAACACAGAGGAGGGTAGCACACAAGGAAGCAGGGCAGCTTCTTCAACAACTCCAGCACCAAGGGGATCAACAAGTGGAGCACCAAGGGCAGCTTCTTCAACAACTCCAGCACCAAGGGCAGCTTCTTCAACTGCTCCAGCACCAAGGGCAGCTTCTTCAACAGCTCCAGCACCAAGGGCACCTTCTTCAACTGCTCCAGCACCAAGGGCAGCTTCTTTAACTATAGGTGCAGCAACAAGGGCAGCCAGCTCAACTGCTGCCAGGAGAGCTTCCTGGAACCCACCAAGACAGAGAAAGCAACCCAGCAGGCTGAAAGACTATTTCTACGCTTCTGGGAACTGATGTTCAACCTTGATGATGATGTGATCTAGCTAAACTAGTAATTGCTAAGATCTATTTTGGCAACAACTTATGGTACTGTAATCTGGCTGAACTAGTAATTGCTATGTTTCATGATGATGTGATATGGTACTGTAATCTATGAATCTATATGATGCACTGTACTTAAGCCTCTCTATTTGTGTCAAGTTGGCTTGTTATTATGACCATTACAATGTTCAATAGTTTAGGCTAAACTAGTAATTGTTATATGATATGAGGCTAGGGGGCACCCTAGGGCCATTTTGTCGATAAGTCGATGATATGAGGCTAGGGGGCATCCTAGGGTCATTTTGTCGATAAGTCGATGATATGAGGCTAGGGGTCACCCTAGGGTCATTCTATCGATAAGTCGATGATATGAGGCTTGGGGTCACCCTAGGATCATTTTGTCGATTCATCGATGAAATGAGGTTAGGGGTCACCCTAGGGTCATTTTTGTCGATAAGTCGATGAAATGAGGCTTGGGATCACCCTAGGGTCATTCTGTCGATAAGTCGATGATATGAGGCTAGTGGTCACCCTAGGGTCATTCTGTCGATAAGTCGATGAAATGAGGCTAGGGGTCACCCTAGGGCCATTTTGTCGATAAGTCGATGATATGAGGCTAGGGGGCACCCTAGGGTCATTTTGTCGATAAGTCGATGATATGAGGCTAGGGGTCACCCTAGGGCCATTTTGTCGATAAGTCGATGAAATGAGGCTAGGGGGCACCCTAGGGCCATTTTGTCGATAAGTCGATGATCTGAGGCTAGGGGGCACCCTAGGGTCATTTTGTCGGTTCATCGATGAAATGAGGTTGGATAATAGTGCACTCACATTCAACAGCCCCAAATATCTTTTATCAAATTCTACTAAGCACTCACATTCATAAAGGTTCCTCAAGGTTGGATCCAACACCTGATCTCACAAAATACATACATAAAGGTTCAGAAATAGATACTAAAGTACTTAATAGATGATTATCATCTAGATTACAACACTGCTGGATCCAACACCATAGATCACAAATTCATCACTGAAGTACTTGGGTCACAAATTCATACTAAAGTACTTGATAGAAGATTATCATCTAGAAACTGATAGATGATAATCATACTAGAAGGCACCCTACTCATCTAAGATGGCCTTCACACCCTGAAGCTTCAACTTTATCTTTTCCTCGGACTTTTGAAGCTCAGAAATGTGATGCTGCAGTTTAAGCCTCTCCTGTCAGCCTCTCATTCTCCTTCAAATGATTGAACTTCAAGTTCCTAATCACATTGGCTTGAGCACCTGCCAGGTTCTTCAGAGTTTCATAGTTTTGCAGCATCTTCTTCTTCTCCTCTTCTGTCTTTGACAGTTGTGCCTTCAAGTTCCCCACTACAGTCTCAAGCTCAACAATCTTCACATCAACATATTCCTTCTGCTCCTTCTGATTCTTTAGCTCCACACCCCTCTGCTGCTGGGCATCCAAGAGGGAATTCACATCAGCATACAAACTGTCATAGTTCTCATGTAGTTTCTTCTTCTCCTCCTCTTTCTTTGACAGCTCTGCCTTCAAGTTGCCAACTATAGTTTCTAGCTCAGCAATCTTAACTTCAAGATATTGCTTCTGCTCCTTTTGATTGGCTAACTCCACACCCCTCTGCTGATGGGCATCCAAAAGAGCATTCACATCAGCATACAAACTGTCATAATTCTCCTGTAGTTTCTTCTTCTCTTCTGTGAGGTTGTGGATTGCAAATGAACTCTCTAGATTGTCATTGGTCCTAGCTGATTAATCTCCTCATACATATCCCATAGCTTGGCCAATGCCTTCTCCATTGAGTCTGGCCATTCAAAATCAATCCATTGAACTACTCCACAGTTTAGGCCTTCCTGTATTATAAACAATAAAAGAAATAATTAATTATGTTTCGGGTATCATCAAACCAACAGGTTCAGGTATCTAATATGTGCACTGTTAAACAGAGGAGTAAAGCACACAAGTAAACAATGCCCACACAAGTAAACAAGTCATTAAGCACTGACCATAATAAACAAATACTACCATCCACTAATGAGAACACACTCCAACACAGTGGCTAAAGCAAATTAAACAAAGACAAAGCACTTAACCAAGCTTAACAACTTGAGACACAAAGGAGTTAGCACTGACCAATATAAACAATGTGTACATTCCACTAATGACAAGGCATGTCAGAACAAGCTAAACAAAGACCAAGCTAAAAAACTATTAACAGCTTCATAAACAAAGCATATTCAGTTAAATATCACACTAAAAAATTCAGTAGTTCATACATACAGTTTCAATATTCAGTTTAACTAAAAAAATATAAACAGCTTGATAAACAAAGCATTAAGCAAACAGCTTCCTTTACACAGGATGTGAATCATACCTTCTTAGCACATCCAGGGAACCTCTTGTCCGTGTGCATCCCTTCAAATGCAACAAAGCGCTCGGCCGGCTCATCGTGTTCACACAAAACATTCACATCTGCGTCAGTGCCATTGAAATTCGGATCGTGCATCGTAACAGGAAGCTGCGGGAGCAAGCAAAGAGAAGGCTAGGTTCAAATCGAGCTCAATGACAAAATCCCCATTTCACTAACCCTAACCCTAGCTCTAGCTATCTAATGAACTGACCTTGATGATGCCATCGTAGGAGGAGGAGATGTTCAGCACTGAATCCTCACTGGTCTCGTCGCTCCACGACACCATGGCACCGGGGAGCAGCATAACGGCGGTCGGCGGTGTGGCGGCGCCGGGGGAGAAGAACGGAGTGAGAACAGAGTGAGGAGAGGGCGAGGCAGAGGAGAGAGTGTGGGGAGAGAGCTGGATCGATCCAGTTTTTACCCACACGGCGGAGCAGTAGCGGCAGTCACGCCGTTAGACGGCGTCAGCTACCGGCCGTGACGCCACGTAGACGAAACAGGGCCCCACCTGTCATAATAGTGCTTAAAATGCCCCAACAGACGGTTAGGTGTTTTCTGCAAATGATTAGGACCAAAATCAGTGTTTTCTGGCACAAAATCGTAGAAGAGTCTTTTCTGCAACCCTAGGCTTCAATGTGGTGGTTTTCTGCAATTCACTCTGAATGCTCGGATGTTTTCCCCATACCTTAATAAATGCATCGATCTCCTCCTTGGTAAATTGGAACTCCGGACGGTCCTCGTCAGAGTCAGACACAAAAGCTTGAGCATAACCCTCATCCTCAGGATTCTTTTCTCCAAATGTCTCTGGATCTCCATCAAGTTGGCTTGATGCCACAAGAGGTACACAAGGTGAGGATGGAAACATGATTTCAGGGACGTCGACAAACTGTTCGTCGGTCCCCTCGCCTTGAGAATTGTTTTCTTTCCCGATGAAAGCCGGCACCCCACCGCAATGTTTGCGAGGTGGTGTGTCATCTTTCCTAAAGATACTTCTCTCTCCACTAGCTATGTTTGCAGCCTTGACTTTCTCCTCGATGATGGCATGTGTATCCGTTAAACCTATCACCGCATCACAAGGATTTTGAGTTAGCGTATCTTCGTTATCAACATTTGATGGTTGGCTTGGACCCACATCATAAGCGTCCGCATAACCAACAACATTTGATGGCTGGCTTGGACCTACTTCCATAACCGAGAGGTACTCATTCAGATCGATGAGAAGTTGAGGCCTCACAATACCGGTGACTTTGATGGAAACAACCACTAGAGATCTTATTTGGAACCCTTCAGCAAGCTCCTTGTATAACTCCCACTCATCAATGCCACAGATAGGTATCATCTGAGTAAACGAGCGAGAGCCACACCCAGCATCGTATCTTCCTTCTAAAGAAACATCATCACCAATGTCGTTCCACCCCAACAGTTCTCTAAGCTTCAAAGCAACCTTATTGAAACTAGGACTATGTGGAAAGAAAACAACTTGACTCGTCATGTCTACAAATTCTACACCACTGCTGGAGGAGGTCACATGCCCTCCATGATGAACATGAAGTATCTTTGAGTATGCCATCTATATTCATTTCAAAAAGTACAACTTTACCCATTAGCGCACAAATTATACAACAAAACGCCGAAAACAGATAAAATGGACATATATTATATATATATATATATAACCTAACATCTACATCACTTCATATATAGCAAATATCACATCCAAATCATATCAATTTCAGCAAAAATCAACTTAACCTAATATCATATTAACTGCATTTGTGCTGTGAGAAGGCCAGGAGATACCTTACGGTGGGTGGAGAAGAAGTCAGCCCCCGTTGTTGCGGAGGAGAAGGCCAGGAGGGTCTGGGCAGAGAGAGGATGAGGCGGACGGGCCGGACCTCAAGTGGCAAGGTTCGTCGCGGAGGGCCTGGTCGGTTTGCGCCGGTGCATGGTGATGGAGTCACGTACCTAGGGTAGGGTCACAGACCTGATCTAAGTACCCTGCCCGAGGACACCCTTAGAAGAGATCACCTTCCAGTCGACCTACGAGGGACTCACTCGACTGACTCGAAGGACTCGACCACGAAGACTCACTCGACCACCAGAAGGTCAAGAGGCACTCTGCACTGCAACGGTCTGTAATTAAGTAGACTTTATGATAGTAAAGACACTTTATGTGGGACGTTACCTGTAACGCCCCGGACTTAATACACCTTAAACCCTTCATTACGTGGGCTGGCTGGGGTCCTGGCGCACTCTATATAAGCCACCCCCCTCCACAGGCAGAAGGGTTCGGCACCCTGTAACTCATATACACATAATCCACTCGACCGCCTCCGGGCTCCGAGACGTAGGGATTTTACTTCCTCCGAGAAGGGCCTGAACTCGTACATCTCTTGTGTTTACAACCTCTCCATAGCTAGGACCTTGCCTCTCCATACCTACCCCCCACTCTACTGTCAGACTTAGAACCACGACAGTTGGCGCCCACCTTGGGGCGGGTGTTTTAGCGATTTTGTGGAGAAGTTGCGATTCTTCCGAGTACTTTCATCATGGTGGCTGCTGGAGTTTTGGTTGAGGGTCGAGAGATCCATCTCGGTGCTCTCACCTTCGTCGCCGACGACTCCGCCTGGCTCCAGGAGGCTCCTCTCGACGTCGATGCGCTCCCCGTCCACGGTGCGACGCATTTTCGCGCATGTGTCCACGGCGTTCTGCTGCGGCAACCGTCGACCCCGTATCGGTCGACTCCCCCATCGGCCACCCTCCCGGTCTCCCGCCAGTGCAAGCGCTCGGGCCGGTCGAGGCTTCAGCGGTGGGTGAGGCACGTGGTGGCTCGCCAGACGGCCACCACCCAAGTTGCGGCAATCGAGCCCGACGAATCTCTTTACGGCCCGTTCGATCTGTCGACTGGCTCCGTAGAGACTGCATCCGAGTGCGATAGCAGTGATCCAGCGGCGGAAATCCGGATGGTCGACGGGCCCCGCAGTCCCCCCTAGCTTCGCCCGTGATGGTGGGGCAGGCGACGGAGGCGACCCCGCAAGAGACTACGAAGAGTACCAACCCGAGCCACTCGACTCTCTGCAAAGAGAGGAACTTCGCCGCAGGAACATGGATGCCCTGCATACTCCCTTTGTAGGAGAAACCCCCGAGGCTCGCGCCTTGGAGGAGGCACGTTTGGCCAATTTGGCCGAACGCACTCGCCTAGAGAATCTTCAGCGAGCACTTGACGAGCGCACGCGGCAACGAGTTCCCGACACCAGTCGACGTCAACTCTTCCCGCCGACTCAGGTATATTGAACCCCAATTCAGAATTTAGCAGCTGCGACCCGGATTGCAGAGTCCATCCAGCCCTCTCAGTCGGAAGCTGGCAGAGGCTTGATGCAGATCAGGGATTTGCTCCGGGCAGCAGGTGATCAGAATTCGGCTGTGTCGCAGTCGCGCAACAGAATTCACAATCGATCCGTCGCTGCGAATACGGTTCAGTCGGCTCACAGCCCCAGATCGCCTCCGCGGTGTGAAGGGCGCGAGAATCGACGAGACCAATATGGAGACCGACACGACCGAGATGATAGGCGTCGAGTGCCCACTTCCCCTCCGAGGGGTGGGTCTTACGCTCCTCACCAGCAAGATGACAGACGTCAGCCCAGTGCGGGGCGAAGAGTTCCAGTCGACCCCAGAGAACCAGGCTTCGACGCGCGATCCATTATCATGCAAGGCTTGGTCGACCGGAACAGAGCCCATCGAGGTGGACTCGACAGAGATGCGCCCACGAGCAGTCGAGTGCATGTTTCTGGTCCGGAATGTTTCAGCAGAGCTATCAGAGCCGCAGTGATCCCTCCCAATTTCAGGTTGGCAACAGGAGTCAGCAAGTTCACTGGTGAGTCTAAGCCTGAAACTTGGCTTGAGGACTACCGAGTGGCGGTTCAGATTGGTGGTGGGAATGACGAGGTGGCCATGAAACATCTGCCCCTCATGTTGGAAGGTTTTGCCAGAGCATTGTTGACTCAGTTACCTCCTAGCAGCATTTACACTTGGGAAGATCTGTCCCGAGTGTTCGTCAAAACGTTTGAAGGAACTTGCAAGCGACCGGCTGGATTGAAGGAGCTGCAAGTCTGCGTGCAGAAGACCAATGAGACTCTCAGGGAGTATATTCAGAGATGGATCACTTTGCACCATACAGTGGAGAATGTGTCTGATCATCAGGCAGTCTGCGCCTTCAAGGATGGCGTCAAGAACAGAGAATTGAGTTTGAAATTTGGTCGAACCGGTGACATGACCTTGAGTCGGATGATGGAAATTGCTACCAAGTACGCCAACGGTGAAGAAGAAGACCGACTCCGAAGCGGCAAGCACAAGCCGAGCCAGTCGGAGAAGGGAAACACCAGTCGGAAACAGAAGCGGAAGGCTGAACCGGCAGCTCCTGGAGAGGCTCTGGCCGTGGCTCATGGAAAGTTTAAGGGGAAACCAAAAGGATCCTGGAACCCTAAGAAGGTAAAGGATAAAGAAGGGAACGACGTGATGGATATGCCGTGTCACATCCACACGAAGAAAGACGAAGAGGGGAATATCATCTACCCGAAGCATACCACTCGCCAATGTCGACTCCTGATCCAGCAGTTTCAGGGAAAACAGTCTAAAGACAAGGAAAAGGAGTCGGACAAGGCCGAAGACAAGGAAAAGGAGGACAGTGAGGAAGGATATCCGCATGTCAACTCCACTCTGATGATCTTTGCAGATGTGGAAAGCAAGAGTCGATTGAAAGTCATTAACCATGAGGTGAACATGGTTACCCCAGCAAAAGCAAATTATCTAAGATGGTCCCAAACACCCATCACATTCGACCAATCTGATCACCCAACTCATATTGCCACCCCTGGAAGGCAAGCTTTGGTGGTCGATCCAGTTGTCGAAGGCACTCGACTGACAAAAGTGCTGATGGACGGTGGTAGTGGGCTGAATTTGTTGTATGCAGACACACTGAAAGGAATGGGCATTCCGATGTCCCGACTGAGCACCAGTAACATGAGCTTTCATTGAGTTATACCAGGGAAGAAAGCCGAGTCACTCGGCCAAATAGCTCTGGACATGGTGTTTGGTGATTCGAAACATTTTCGCAAAGAGAAGTTGACGTTTGAGGTCGTGGATTTTCAGAGTGCATATCATGCCATTTTGGGGAGACCAGCTTATGCACGGTTCATGGCTCGACCATGTTACGTGTACCTCAAATTGAAGATGCCCGGCCCCAAAGGAGTGATCACTGTCACCGGTGATCGGAAAAAGGCAGAAGAG